ATAAAAAACTTCATCTTCAAAGTCATGTACCCAATATTTCAGTAATTCTCTTCTTTCCCCTAGAGTTCTGCTATTTTTATCTATAACAAAAACCAAGTAAGATCAAGTCTATGCAATTCCATCTTTTTTTCATTTTCAAGTTGTGGAAGATTTAAAAAGAATATGAGTTATATTTCTAATAGTGATATTTTTCTTTGTAAGACTTTCCAGCTAAATATTTGACGTTGTGGTCAGATTTCATGTGTTAGACTACTGTGTCATAAGGGCTATACATAACAACAAGCCATACTCATCACGCACAATTTGATATAATGGATCACTCTGCTTTCACAAATAAAATATTTAATATCTGCATTACTGAAGTCTTCAAGATAATGAATGTTTTATATTTTATTCATAACTTAAAACATATTTTTCTAGTTATTAATATTTGCTATGGTGAGCATAACATTGGAAGTTTATGTTCACACAGCATGATAAATACAATAAATCTGAATTTAAAAAATCTTATGATAACATTTTGATATTTTCTTAATTTCTTTATAAAAATATGCCTACTTTCTTCCAAATAATAACAGTTGCTTTGGTATTTGATTATTTCCAAGTAGCAGACACTCTATGTTTTTAGTATTTCTACCCCACAGCAATCATGCAGGTAACTGTCATTTTCCTCCCTGACAACATGAACAAGGTCCTAAAGGATTAGGAGACTCAATGATTCCCCATTTGTGCAACTGACAGGATAGACTCCAGTTTTGTTGTCTGTGGAGTAGAGCTCTAATAAATATGTCAATGAAACTATACCTTATGCACAGGCAATGTGTTGTTGAAAATAAGCCTCCCCATCAAATTGCTTTCCTTGAAATGTCTCTTGGCCAAAGATTAAAACTTTACAGAAGGAAAACAAACTGAATCCCTAAAATGTATGGGTCTGTGAACCCTTCCTCAAATGCAGAAAATTGTAGAGACAAAGTCTACTAAATATTAGTTAATTTCTTTTTTCTGAGTCATCTTACTTTCAATTTAGACAAAAGTAATGATTTAATAGCAATTAGCTTTCTGTATATAAAGTTAATTACCTGTGGCCAAACCTCATGACCAGTGTTTCTATTCCTGTGATATTATTGTAGTCATTTTTTATTTTAGTAAATGTAAATAACTTTTTAATTCCCTAATTCTAAACACACACACATGCTAAATTATTTATATATCCATTTTAATATGTATTTTGCATCTGACAAGCCAACTCTCCTTAGGACCCTTTTACTGACCTACCTGTCATTATTATGGGGTAAACAATGTCACCTTTCTAGTGCACAATGAATTACAAAGAATTTGCAAAGTGCTCCATCCATCATGCTGGCACTAAGTAGGTTTGCAGAGTAGATATCAGATATCTCAAATGCTCTTTAGACAGTTACCAGGAAGCACAAATTGGAAGTTTATACAAACAGTCCTATGATGAATGGCCATGACAGCTCTTCAAAATAAAGGGGAGCTACTCCTCTGAAAATAACCTTGTAAAAAGCAAAAGATGTGGGGAATTTTATTGGCAGCCCAAATAGAATAATTTAAAAACTTGTTAATGGTTCTGCCTCATAGAAATTCATGAACACAGAATGTACTCAAAATAAGAACAGCGTTATGTCTGAATCAGCAGCAACAGCCACTCAAGATTGATTCAACTTGGGGAATTGTCATAGATACACAAAAAACACCATTTCCCTATGAGCTGTTCTGTGTGGATGTCAGTGTAACAACAACCCCATAGAACATAGATGTAAAGCGTATGCACATGTTCTGTATGCACACACAATAACTAGAATTGTCTTACTTTTGATTACCCTAGTCACATCATTTGAGTTTTAAAAATATTTCAAATACATACTTACTTCATGCCTCTATTTAAGTACTGTGGGTAATATATTTGTTTTATTAAGTATTGACATAGCTACTCTTAATGTTTTCATCTAAGTTATAAGACTAACTTTTTAAAAGTCTTCAGATAGTATTAGATTTATGTGTAATGGCATTTGGTCCTTCAGTTGAAGCTAAATATTTCAAAGGAGTACATTCTACATCTGCCCTCACCTTTGATTTTTCCTTTGATTTTTTTCATTTTTTAAATTTAAATTAGAAACATACTTGCTTCACATGTCAATCCCAGCTCCCTCTCCTACCCCTCCTCCCTTCACCCTCCACCAGCCCCCCAGCCCCCTACCCAATCCCCACACCATTCCCTAGGGAGGGTGAAGCCCTCCAAGGGGGAATCTCCAGAGTTTGTCATTTCATCCATGGCAAAGCCTAGGACCTCCCTCATGTGTCCAGACTGAGACAGCATCCCTCCATGTGGAACGGGCTCCCAAACTTCATTTGTACACAGTGGTAACCACTGATCTATTACCCAAGTCCCCAGAGATTGCCTAGGCCTCCTTACTGGATCAGTCCCCTGTTGGTCTCTCAGCCATTAACCTAGGGTCCAAGATCTCCCCCTTGTCAGGTCAGCTATCTTTGTGGATTTCATCAGCACGGTTTTGACCCCTTTGCTCATCGCTCCTCCTTCTCTGCAACTGGGTTCCAGGAGTTCAGTTCAGTGTTTAGGTATGGGTCTGCCTCTGCTTTTATCACTATGTTCATATCAGCATTATCTTTAATAGCTAGATCCTGGAGGCAACCTAGATGCTCCCTAACTGAAGAATGATTGAGAAAATGTGGTACATTTACACAATGGAGTACTACTCAGCAGAAAAATACAATGGAATCTTGAGATTTTCAGGCAAATGGATGGCACTAGAAGAAATCATCCTGAGTGAAGTAACTCAGTCACAAAAAGAGAAACAAGGTATGTACTCACTCATATATGGATTTTAGACATGGATCAGGGGAGTGCCAGACTACAATCCCATTAGCAGTGAATCTGGGAAACAGGGAGGTTCCCAAGAGAGATATGCATGATACCCCAGAGAAGTGGAATGAGGCAACATCTGAGCAGATTGGGAGCATGGGGGGAGGGGAGAGGGTACAGGAGAGAAGAGGAGGGGAGAGGAAGACATGAGGGTTCAGGAAGGTTGAGTCGGCTGAAGAATATATGATTTTTCCTTTTTTGTAATTGATTTGTTAATATTTTTAAAATGTCTTTGATAAAATTGGCAACTTAAATACATTTAAGATGATGAAATGGTCTCAAGTAAACATTATAGACATTGGTGAAATTTCATAAGTGTTCTGGAAAGATTAGTTAATTATATGAAACAACAAAACTATTTAACACATATCACTGGTAAGAAGAATATGTACAATACTCTGAGATATCTGGAGTTGGGCCTATGGAATTTATGGTCTAACAGTATTTCCAGTCATCATAGAGGACCAGGTTAAGGGAACAAAGCTTCTCAAGATCCCCCTGATCAGGCAATCATCAATGTTTGCCATGAGGAACTGAAAAAGAAGCAGGCAGGAATGAGTCCAAAGACTTACTGAATTCCTAGTGCTGTTTTGTTTTTGTGCCTGTGGTTGCATTATTTGGAGGGCGGGGCTGGGAGGGGATGATCTGAATGTACTTGAGACAAAAAGAAAAAAAGAGAAAGGAGAAACTGTGTTCCTTGTAAATGTTTTGAGACGAAGACAAAATAGATTGAATAATTTTTCACACAGTGCCCTAAGTTCACCGCTTCTAAGCCAAGGCAAAGGTGTTTTCTGAGCCAAGGCAAAGCTTCCTTGTGTTTTCCTTGATATAAAAAAGTGTTTCCATTATTTCCAGAAAAAGAATGTTTTATCAAATCAAAAGACGACTTCTATGCTAAAAATATCGCATGTATTTAACATCAAATTAAATCTAATTAGTAGTAATACTCTTTAAGTTTATGCAGGTTACATGCAATTCTGCTAAAAGGAGAGAAACAGCACAAAATGGGAGCCTTTTGATCTACGAGTACACATGCATTCCCTGTACACTTTAGCAATCCCAAAATTAAAAACATGAAAAAAATGTATGTTGCAATGTAACAAACCTTGGTTATTCTATTGTTTTAAGAAATTTTATATAGTAACTTTAAATTGTTTAAAAGTCCCATGTTTTCCTTGTAGTTTATTACAAAGATTTCAAATTTGTACATAAACAATAGAAATATAGCAAAACTTCATGTGTATTCATTTAGATAACTTACAGTTTAAAAAAAAAGACTAAACATATTTGATAAAATTATACTTTGAGTCTGAACAGCTACTATATAAAGCAAAATATGCCACTATTTCTAACTGGCATATTATGTGAACTCTGTGTCATGAATTGTTCACGGGATTCACTTAGATTTGCTACTTTAATTCTTATGGCGGTACTCAGGTGGCAGAGAAGTGATGCTTCATACAGAGCTAAGACGCTCAGCATCATATGAGAGGAGGAAAACAGTGGGTAACTACAGTGTGAGCTTTAACTCACACATATGACTCTAGAAATCTTGTTCAGAACCAGAATGCCAAAAGAACTATCAAAGCTAGCTAACCCTGAAAGGTGGAGGAATAATCCACACCTGGCTCCACTTCACACATTTGCCATCATGAATGCAGGCATGCAGCATTTCAAATCCCAAATGTGTGAGTAATAGCATCAATTTTCCTCTTCATTTCTTATGTGCATAAACAATCTCAAATGCAATTCTTGCCATTTCTGTTCTCTCCCTACGTATCAACATATTCAAATTTGCCTCTTCAAACCATAAATGAGATTCTCTTGAAATATATGGGCTGAGAAAAATGTGAATAACTCAGTTGTACCTTCAACACCTTTGAATTAAATTCATCTAACATGTTTTCACTTTCAAAATTTGACAAGTAAAGATTCAGGAACTTCTCCTCTTCCTTGATTGCTGGCATTGCTACACGGAATATATTTAATGGCTACTTTTGTATGCTGCACCTAACCAGTTAGTTCAATTTAGATGAAAGCTGTTGTTTTCTAATTCCATTTCAGTGAAAATGACAGAGACAAATGGTCAAATTACCTGGAGAGTTCCTTTGGCAGAATAGGCAGCATATGATGAGAGCAGATCTTGGCTATGGCCTTTTCTGGCTTCTTCCCGGCAAGGCTGGCCATCAGGATAAAAGCACTGGCCAGTGCTGCTCACAGTGATGGTGCCTGGAGAGGGCCCAGGGAAATCCAGCAACACTGAGTAGTTCATAAGCTGTGTATCTTCCAAGCCCAAAGCTGTCCAGTGAGTCTTAATCTTCTTTGAAATTTCCATGTCATCTTCACTTTTATAGAGTTGTAGCAAATTTCTGAAAATAGTTAAAAGCACATTTAAAAAGAATAAAGGAATTCTTTACAATTTAGATATGCAACTGTTGATATGTGAGCAATTTATTAATAGATTTCATGAACTACTGAAGGATAAATGTGACAAGACCTGACCTTAAGAGATGTAGAGAGTTGGTAGAGCTGATGAGAATGAAGGGGATCATATTAAAACAAAGCAGGATGGATTTATTTTCAAGTAGGACTACAAGGAATGATGAATGCCAACTAGTGCTTTATTCCTTCTGATTGTGCTATCAATATTAACAAAATCCATGTACAATGAGTTCCCATAGTAGCTATGATATATAATGAGATAGATTTTATCATGGTTAATATGTTTCCCTATAAGAGTGTTGAATAATCTACATCTACTGATATTTAAAACAGAATTCTGTTTTGTCCCTCTTCCACACTGAACGTTTATGTTTGTGTCCTAAATGTGCCCCCGTGAAGCTCATGTTTTGATTGCCTGTTTCTTAGAGGTGCAGGAGATTAAGAAATTTCAGGAGTTTGGTGCCTCTTTTAGTGGTCCTCGAAGGTGATCATCCACATATTTTATGATGTAACTCTTTGTTCAAAAGCCATGTTTCAACCCTCCCATCATGGAATGAACCCCTTGTGTCACCATGCCTTCCTCAACATAACACTCTATCCTCTGAAATTGTGAGCCAAGATTAACTTCTACTTTGGATTGCTTCTGTCCCATATTTAATCATGGGGAGTGAAAGATAAGCAATGTATTGGCATTGAAATAACCCTTTCATTCCAGTGTTGAGCTTGTCGATGGCAATAAAATAACATTACTTGTTAATATTTGTGTTCAGTTTTGAATGTCTGAATCAGTTCCCTCAAACTGGTATTCTGAAGTACTAAGGGTCCAAATGATGAGGTGGGAATTTAGTGGGGGGTGTTTAGATCACAGGTAAAATTACTCATTAATGTAATTAGCACTCCAATAAAAGAGGTCAGAAGGAGATTTATACATTTTATACCACATGTAAGACAGAGCTAGAAGAAATGATATATCAGGAAGCAGATACATCTCAAAGATTGTAGAAACTGCTAGTCTAAAACTGCAAAACCAAATTCCTTTTTTTTTTGTAAATTGCCCATTCTAGGGTATTATAGCCACTTGGATGGACTACAATAACTATCAAATTACTGGTGACAGTGAATACATATAAACTTAGTTTTTGCTTTTTGGTAAAAGTTATGGAATCAGCAAATGGATATTTCATTACCTCTTCTCTTACCATTTTAAAACCTTACTTTAATTTTTGAATTATTATGCACAGTGTACTCTTCAGAAAATACTTAGTGCAATATTTAATATAAAGCCATGCTAGTTGATTTCATAAATGGATTGAAAATTTCTTCCTATTGCCCCATTGCTGATATGTTCTTTTAAAGAGTGTTGAACTTTATCACACATACTGATATGTTCATTAAAACAATCATAAGATCCATTCAAAAATTAATGAGTACACCAAAAGAATTTCTCTTATGTAAAATCAAATTCTGTTAATAATAGGATGCATTAGAGATTTTAGATATTTTGTAATTTTCACACCTATTTTAAAAGCAATGTGGTGTTAGTAGTAATGTTCCCATCAGGAATATTTTCTGTTTAATTTGGAAAAAAATTATACAACCCTCATAGATAGGGAGTATTTTCGTTTGATTCCTTCTCTGAAAGAGATCAAATAAGACTAGGATATTTGAAGAATATTATCTTTAAACTAAAAATGGTCTGTAATTGATGTCTTATTATGTGAGAACTATGACCTGATTGATCAGTAGCTTTAATACTATATGAGTTTTTTTGTTTCCTCTTTGAACCCCAGGCCTTTCATCACTCCCTGTCCCACTTACTATTCATCCTCAGGTTTCCAGGCCTTGGCTCACCACTTGCACAGCAACTTTTACTACATTGGTTCCCTTCTTACTTCCTCTCTCTGTCTGGTCAGTGTAATATTACGATATTTTAAATAAATCCATTGCAACACGCAGTCATATGAATACATATTTGTATGAAGCATAATTGTATTTTTAGAATATCATTTCAAAACGCTTGCTAAAATGTCACTCAATGAGAAAGAGTCATTGTCACCATGCCTAATGACTTGAGTTTGATCCAAAGAACCACAAGGTAGAAGGAAAGAAAAAGAAGTCTTACTACTTATTATCTGACCTGAATCTGTGCTTCAAGGCAGGAACATGCATATACACACACAATAAAAAACACAATATATACATACATATATATATATATATGTGTGTGTGTGTGTAAAATACTACATCAAGTAAACAAGCAGTATATTGACTAATTGTAATTAAATTGCTTTGTCCCCAATAATTTATTCTTCTTTTAACAATACCTAAGGAGAAAAACTCTAGAAAAAGTAGTAAGGTTATGACTTAGAATACCCTTTCCATACACTAGAGTGTAGATGTTTTCATAGAATTTTTAAGTGCTGTTCTTTGGCCCATTGTTTTACCCATTAGAGATTAAATAATTTAAATCTGTTGTATTATACTTTCAGCCTGAATTTAATTGAATATCAGGGCATCTTTAGAGCAAGCTAAACAATAGCCATTTGTTAACATAAAACAGGCATCCTCATTGATGCTGGCAAAGATTATAGATGCACATAATTATAGGCTTGCCATTTCTAGGAGAAAGGGCTAGTTTCAGTGAGACCTTATTTCAAATATTCAATTGGAAAGAGATGAGTGAAACATGGAACAGTGTTCATTGGGGTCTACATGCACTATCACCCAAGAACACACCACACACACACACACACACACACACACACACACACACACACACACACACAAACTGACAGTGGAACACCATTATTCCACAAATAGTGTATTACACCCCAAATAGTTGAGCTGTTTAGGTTTGATTTTCTTGTATTAAAAGTTTCCCTACCTCCTCCTTGTATTTGAAATCCACACAAGCTTTTGTTTAACTTCATTCCTCCAAGACCCATATTTAAAGAGTGTGATGTGTCAGAAACAGGGCCTTACTTTCAAGTTCTGGAAGGTAATCTAGAGAAAATGGTAATATCCTATATTGTTTGAGGATTCTCTTAGACTCCCCTTAAAAACAACTTGAAAGTGGACTTCTTAAGCTTGTGTTCTTGTTTGCAGTTATTTTTAAATAGTCTGTGGCGGTTGGGAGGCATTTTCAACTCACATGTTATAGTTTCATTTAAATTATTTACATATGTACATATACATTTAAATACAAACAATAATAGATTTGTCTGTGGTTTTTTCAAGCACTCGTGCTCTTTTTCTCTCCTTCCTCTTTTCTCTCAGTGGTGTCTTTCCTATCCTCTCTCCAAATGAAGGACTCCAACGATTTCTCCATTACTCTTAAAAAGAATCTGTGTCACACTATTATCCTCTCTATACTCTACCATCTACCACATACATACTACACTTTTTACTTTCTTTACTTCTGTGGCTACTGCAGCTTATATACTCACATAAAGATTTGGAATTAGGATCCTCAAATAAGAGTGATCAAGAAGCTTTTGTCTTTGTGGTTCTGGATTGCTTCTCTTGGTATAATATATTTTAGTGACCTGGAATCCTCCATTGTGAGGATTCACTGTTTTCAGTATCATAAGATCAAGAGATTCTATGCAAATTGCCTGGGACCAGGAAAAATAAGCAGTCCTACACTGTTGTAAAGCACTGCAATGATCGGACCATAAAGATATCCCCAATGATGCCATACCGGTGCCATTACATTTGAGACAAACAACAGCCCTCTAATTGGACTCATGCCTGGCCACATAGTCAAGTACTTGTAAGTTAGGCAACTGTAACTTATTCCACTACCTGTGGATGGAAACTCATAGGCATTAGAAGAACACCTATACTGCCATCTCCCTAAGCCATTATAATTAGTAACTCTATTCTAAATACTTACCATCATACAGTTAAATGTAGCTTTCACCATACATCAAAAAATTCATTTTTGCAACAGATGAAGACTGTTATAGAGATCCTAAATTGGTCAACATGCACAGAATAATTGACTGTAGGGTACCGCACCCAGGTGATAATATCTGTATCACAACCACTAGAAGTAATATGGGAAAATCATGGATGAGGGGTGAAATGATTGTAAGAACCAGGGGCTCAGGATGTGTACTGTGAGATAGCATGTCCTATATATGACAGTAAAGCTGTACTTAAGTATACTCAGCAATATGGATGCCTGAATAAGACCAGCATAATGATAATACTAGTTGATATACCTATGTGGCCATGGAAAATTCCATGCTCAATGTTCAATGCCTGCTGAGAAGGAGAATCAGTTTCCTCCAGGGATGAGCCCCTATTTAGTTTGTACATACTCAAGTGGTCAAACCTAGACTCATATACATATGAGCAAAACCATAAGCTGTATATACTTTTTGTACATGTGTGTGTCTAAGAGCGTGCATAAGCATAGAATGATAATAAAGAGGTCAAGAACTTTGGAGGGTGGAATATGGGGAGAATTTGGGGGAGAAAGTGATGTTGATGTAGTATTTATGTATGAGTTTCCCAAAATAAAACATCAAAAACAGCAATAAAATACATATGTCTATAGTACTAAATCTTGGTTTATATTTGTATTGTGTAAAACTTTACTAACCGCCATCTTGTGAAATCAACTTTAAAACTTTGATTTTAAGTTATATAAATACTCATACATTTTTCACTTAAATAAGCAGCAATGTCTTATTGATATGATTGGCTTTTTGAGAGATTCTGTTTATGGTCTCAAATTTCCTAGAACATGAACATGGATACATTTATTTGCAACTTTTCACATTTTTAAATCTCTCTTTCCTTGCAGTAAATGATTTGTGAGTTGGGGTAAGCACTTCTGTTATAATTAAACAGGTTTCTATATTAAACCAGAAATGTTATTAAGGAATTAACTGCTATGCAATCTCAATTTGCTAATTGA